ATGATGGCTCCCATAGTTAGAAAATGGGACTCGGGAAGGAATGCTTTGGCTTGGCTGGAGTCTAGGAGAGTGTCGATGAACTCTATCCTGTGGGTGGGAGTTAGAGTTGATTTCAACACATTCAGCATGAGCCTGAGCACTTTGAAGGTCAATTGTATGAGGTTCATGTGCTTTTCCACCTGGGCTTTGGTACGGCCCTTGACAAGCCAGTCATCTAGGTATGGGAAAATTTGTACCTGTCGCCTCCTTGGATATGCATTTGGTGAACACCCAAGGGGCCGCCGATAGCCCAAAGGGGAGAACCGTGAACTGATAATGGATGTTGTTGACCACGAAGCGGAGGAACCACCTGTGGGTCGGCATGATTGACACGTGGAAGCATGCATCTTTCAAGTCGAGGGCGGCGTACCAGTCCCCCGGATCCAGGGAGGGAATAATGGAAGCCAGAGAAATCACTTGAAACTTCAGCTTTTTCACAAATTTGTTGAAGTTCTGCAAATCCAAAATGGGTTTTAGCCCACCTTTGTCTTTTGGGATTAGGAAATATCGGAAATAGAAACCCTTGCCCCAGAACTCCTGAGGGGTGTTCTCTACCGTCTGGCTTCTAGGAGCGCTTGCACTTCTTGTATGAGAAGTTGCTCGTGAGAAGGGTCCCTGAAGAGGTATGGGGTAGAGGGGTTGGTGGGAGGGAGGAAGGGAACAGAATTGGAGAGAATATCCCAATTCTACCTTGTGCAAGACCTACTTCTCTGAGGTGATCTGGGCCTAGGCCCAGCAGAAATGGGATAGATGATTCACAAAACAGGGAGAAGGATCCAGATTGCGATTGGTGCATCACCCCTGGGCACACCTTCAAAAGTTTTGCTTGGGAGTTAAAGGCTGGCCCTGGTTGGAAGAGGGCTGTGGAGGCCTTCACCTATTATTCCTACCACTCTTACTACTGTAATCTTGTCTTGACTGAGAGGGGTAGAAGCGTGGTATTCTGGATGGTCTTGATCAAGGGTAAGGCCACCCTTGAAGGACCCTCAGGCCTTAGAACGTCCACCATGGGATCCGTTTCTTCTGTCACCTCCTCTTCCTGGAGGCTCAGATTTTGTGCTACCCTTCTGAGTAGCTCTTGGTGGGCTCTGTTGTCCATGGCTGGCAAAGTGGCAGATAAGCCTGCTACTGCCTTGACTGGGGAGGAAGAGGATGATGTCCTTAGCAGCACCACGTCCTCCTGACCCTCCGACTCGCAGGGTCCTCCCGCACTGATACCTCCTGCACGGTGGCAAGTACGGTACCGACCCTGGTCTTGCTCTCAGTGTTGGCCTAGGAGCCAGCTTGGGCGCTGGGCTCTGATCCTTATGGAGGTTCTCGCACCATGGAGGATGACGGGGCTCCCGCCTGTCTAAAGCAATAGATAGGGATCTGGAGCTTGGCCCCTGGACTTGGTGATACATCAACAGGGTCCACAAAGGGCACCTCATGGGCACCTGCCATTGTGGTGGCCAGAGCATCATGGGAACTTGCTGCCTGTCCTCTTGCCTTGAACGATGACAAGAGCAGTGTCAGCTCCATCTGGAGATGTACGATTCCAGCTCCAACCCCAAAGATGAGTCTGACCTCAGTGACCACAGCGGCGCTGAGAGGGACGGTGCCAGAGCGTGGTGCCGAGGGGAGGGCAACCGGTGCTGCATCATGGCAGGTTTACCCTTAGAAAGCATGGCTCCGTGTGGCACCGGTGCCGGGGACTGCAGGGCCCTGATCGCTATGAGGTCCCCGGTGGTCTCAAACCTGTCTGGGGTGGATGGAAGATCCAACTCCCCTATTTGGCCCTCCCGCTCTGGGGAGTCCAACAGACTGGACTCAATGGACCTGCCTGTGAGGCCAGAGTCAATGGTGCTGGTTTTGCCGGAGCAGGGGCTGAGTGTCCTGGCCCGGAAAGCACTCCACAGGCAGCTTCACACTCCACTGCTCTCCTTGTGGGCAAACGCCCCCTCTCTACACTCTTCTGCTTTTTGTACAGCACCAGCGAGTGCGAGCGGTGCCGGGATGCTGCAGAGATGCATCATCTTGGGTATTGGAGAGTGGCAGTGCTGCAGGGCTCTAGACCCAGAGTTCTCGTCGGCACCGCAGCCTCCCTCACTGAGGACGGTGTTCTCCCCACCCAAGTGCTGGGTTTCAGGCCCAACACGGTCCTTGCCGGCTGGGGACGAAGAGCCAACTCCATAAGAAGTTTCAATCTAAAGTCCCTCTCCTTTTTGGTCCTTGGATGGACGCCCGTACAGATTTTACTGACCAGTTTGGTGCTTCCCCCAAGCACTTTAAGTAGGAGTCATGAGGGTCTCCCCTGGGTATAGGCTTCTGGCAGGACCTGCACGGTTTGAAGTCTTGAGACCAAGGCATGCCCCACTCTCCGGGAAGGGGCATGAGAATGTGGGGGGAATAAATCCCCACAGAGATTTATCTAACTAACTATCCTCTACTAAGAACACTAACCTCTAATTAAACTATTTACAGGTACAACTAGGAAAGTCCACTGGGGGATTACTTTCCATGGCAAGAGAGAGAAGCAACAGCTCCAATGATCATCAGAGGCAGTAAGAAGGAACTGAAGAGGTGGCAAGTCAGCAGGGACGTATATACACCATTATGAAGGCGTGACCCACACTGATCAGTGATTGAGTGCCTTTCTTAAAGAGACAGTGCACGGTTTCTGAGACTTCCCCAGCAGCCAGCTCACAGTCTCTGTCTACATGTGTGTGTGAGTGAGAGAGACACACACACTCACTCTCTTCCCCCACCCCCCCTTCCCATGTACCCCATCTCCACAGAGCAGTGAAGGTGAGACAGGGTTCAGGACAGCTTTCAGTGAGTGCCTTAAACAGCACACAGCATCTCTCAGAAACTTCCCCAGCAGCCAGCACACACACAGTCTCTGTGTCACACACACACACACACACAGAGTCTCTGGGTCACACTCACCTACCAACACATACCTGTATTATTGTTGTTGTTACTTCTTGGTACTTCCCGTGATGAACATATATTCTCTATAATTTTATTCTTCCAAAGTGTGTTATTTTAGTTTTTTGACTGGTCTGTGCATTTCATAATTTTTATCTCTTCCACTTAAATTTAATTCTTTGAGTAGTGAGTTCTAAAATGCCTAACCTGTCCTGGCTGGAGTAATTATCCTATTGTAACTTTTTTCGTTTCTACCGGTGGCGCACATCCGCACATACCTCGGTGCACATAACAAAATTTATTCCGCACATGGATGGAAAAATTAGAAGGAACATTGACCCTACCTGTCAATTTCCTTTTTCTTCAAGTGTTGTAGTGTGTCAGTCCTAGGATATGAAAGCGACAAGCTAGGTGAGGTAATATCTCTTATTGGACCAAAGTTTCCAGCTCTGAAGAAGAGCTCTATGTAGTTTGAAAACTTGGTCTGATAAAAGATATTACCTCCCCCAACATGTCTCTCTCAATTCACTTTTGTAAATTTTCATTTAAGAAGATTTAGTTACCAGGAAGAAACTTATTACACAATCCTCTGTGAAATTCAATCATCCTGAGCTACCGAACAGATTGACTGAATCAGAAATGATTTTTCATAATTATTTTTTACAAGTGAGGAGACACAATAATTGCTCTAATAAAAAGTCTTTTCTGACAAATCCTCATCTATGTAAGCACAGTTCATTAGGATAATTTCCCAACAAGATGCAAAGGTGGTACTTAACCAACTATAATGCTCTTTCCTTTCTCCAGGGTTGTTCTAACTACATATTCTAGTCAGCTCATATGAGCTATTACCATGACTGGCGCCCACTAATCTGCATCAACATAGGGGATCTAAGATTTCTTTATCCAAAAACGTATTGCTATTTCAGTGGAGAGACGCGCACAACCTGTTTGGTTCAGTCTATTTTGGCTTCTAAATGTATAACATTTCTGATAGTAGGAGCTGTGACCAATTTTTATGGAACACTCCTATAGTCACTTTTCTGTAATATCAAATGCTTTGGGGGTTCTCATTTTGTATTCAAATACATGGAAAGTAGTTGTGCATTGTTGCTTTTTATATTACTGCTTTTTCTGAAAATAGCAACAATTGGATGTGCTAACTCTGTGCCCTATTAAAGGTACACTGACTTCTAAACACCCCAGAGTCAAAGGACATTATTCTCCACTGCTTTAACCCTTGTGAAAACATTTATACCCACACCAAATAAATGCAAAGTAGGTGTACAATACTAAAAAAGCAAAATGGCAGCATTTTACATCCACTTTGCAGAAATATGAATGACTGTGCAAAGCAGAGGAGAATCAGGTGAAAAACATCTTCCCTGTCTGTTTTTCCTTTGTCACACTAAATCTATTGAAAAATAGCATCAGATTTCCTGCGAAGTCTCAAGATCTTTAGTATAATCATCTTTGAAAATCTATGTAGTAGACCCTACCTAGTCCCTGTATTAAGATTGTCTTAATATGGATACTAGATAGGTCTACTACATTATCTAGTATCTCCATTGATGTACTTACAATATATTGCTGCGTAAGAGCGTTTGCAAACAATCTTTCCCAGTAGAACAGTCCTCTCATTTACTGGACCCTGATTCTACTTCCAGACATTTTACTCAATACACATTTGTGTAATCCAAACTTTTGCAACATATGCACAGAGCCAGAAGTTCTCATACTATGACAATCACCAGACTTCCTTTTGCAAAGTAACAGATACAGTCAAGTGGTATTTAAAGCCATCACAACTATAGGTGTTCCCCATCTACTTACTCATTCTTAACTTGCAGGGAGCCAAGAGGGGGAAATTATTCTCTCTCCTTTCTATTACTAATCATCCTGTTTTTTTCTTTTGGTATCTTTCAGTTCTTCAAATTGGCAGATTTGAGTTTATCACAAATCTGTTGTACAGTGAGGTCTCATATGTACATGTGACAGTGGCTTTCTAGAAAATCATTTGTTTTCATTTACAGATACGTATGTTTTATCTGGTGTTTTATTTACAGTGAATTTAGTAATGATACAACGTTGGCTTGACATCCTAGGAGACTGGACTAGTTACAGAACAGGTACAGCTTATAGAGCTGCTGTAAAGGCTTCCTACCAATGTCTTGTCAATATACCTCAACCCAGACCTTGAGGGACCATATAGGGGTGTGGTGATTGCTCAGATTTCATTCCCATCCAATTCTTGTCTTCTCAGTAATAAATGTGATTTTTTTTAATGTGGACACAAGTTCACACACAACTTGACTGACAGCAACTTTTGCACTGACCATTGACAGACGGCATTACTACCCTGGGACAGATATAAGCAAGCAGATGCAGGTCAAAGGGTTTGAGCCCAATTCATGAGCCTGGTACATATCCTTTTGTGCTGCTCTACCAGTTTGAAAGGGCTATAAAGCAAGCAAACTAGAAAGCTGGGCTAGCGTATCTCTATACTTCTGTTCTCTAATGGAAGGGCCCATTAGGGCCATAAGGAGCTGGGTTGTAAGATGCAGCAACACTGAGATTCCTAGATCAGGGAACTACAAGAATGGCATACCCTTTCTTCGGTCCTGTGCCAAGCAGAGCTTGGCTGGACTTAGGAATCAGGGCCTTCTTGTACTTTTACCACCAATACACTAAGTCAGCCTGTCCCCCCACTTTCCAACCAGCTATTTCAATTACGCAGGACTAGTATAAAAAGCAGAACCATGAAGGCTGGCACCAGAAGGAACTTGTTGGAACCACAGACATTTATATGTATTGTGTGCCAATTAAAAGTGTAAAAACTATGCTTTATACCATATGCTAAGTGGCCTATTCTTTACTTCCACTCACAGATACTCCACTTTACCTAATAATCAGACATCTTTCTTTACCCATTTGGTTTAGAATTTACATACTAACTGAGAAAACCTGGACAAAAAGTATGCACATTGATATTAATGAAGTGTATATATAGTGAATCATAACTGCTGACAATATTTTTTAATCAAAATACTGCAAATGACAAATACCAAACAATGTTTTCATGTGAGCTGTAGAAGTAAAATAGTATTTGTTAACACTTAGCCACAAGCATGTACATAGTGGTGAAGAGACATAATGAGCCCCTATCTAATTCATTAAATATATATATATATTTACCAACGTATATCTTTAGAGACCAAATCAGCTATTTTCTAGGAAGTATGCAACCAGCATAAATAAAATACAGAATTCCTGCACCCTGGCACTTGAAACATTTCTTGTTTTATTTTTAATTTTAAACATAATTGCACCAGGCTTCAAGTGACTAACTTTTCCTCATCTGATGAAGTGAGCTGTAGCTCACGAAAGCTCATGCTCAAATAAATTGGTTAGTCTCTAAGGTGCCACAAGTACTCCTTTTCTTTTTGCGAATACAGACTAACACGGCTGTTACTCTGAAACCTAACTTTTCCTTGAACACTGCTCTAGCCTGAAGAATTGATGCAGCATTTTGGAACTTTTAAATGCATTCTTTTGGTTCTTTTCAAACTTCTTTACTGACAACTTGGTTTGAGGGGATTTTATACAACTGTATTAGTACAAAAAGGTAAACTGACCTTTAGCTATTAATCTCTCAACTGACAAAGTGCATGAAGGAAAATGCACAGCTATGCGAATACATGCTTAAAAAGGTCTACTTTTCAAAGTTAGGTGATATTATTTTATGGCACTTCTATCCAAAGAAATAGAACACAGCTAGACTCATTTGGCCTCTTGAGGAGCTTTGGTGTTTCATCCCATATATATGTCATGATATTGTCTTACTGTAACTAGAAATAGTGGTTGAAAGCGGATTACATGACTTGTATTTGAGAAATGCCAGAGAAGGGTTTCTAGATTTAGCAAATTCAATAGTCTCTAGGCTTTGCTCCCCTGACTATAATCATGTCAAAATAAAGTTCTATCAGAAAGCAATGATCCTAGAGCTTTTATGTAATATTGTTGCAAAGCCTTCCTATTTGCCTAAGTTTATACCTCACTCTTCAGTTTCCTATTTCTATCAATTTTGTAGCAGAGTGTGGGGAATGTAATCGGGTCACTGAATGTGGTGTAGCATTTTGAGTGTCTGAATTATTTTATTTATAGACCACAGAGCCTTTTCCTTGATTGCTCAAGTTATTTTAATAAAATAAAATATTCTTTATAGTATGGATCTTGCCAAATAATATTAGATTTTACTAGATTTTATATTTATTACTCATACATTTTGGAATTTTCACCTCAATGCTAAAAAAGTATAGAAATCCTGCATGGTACTTTTAAAATAATACACACTTCTCTCAAATTTTAAAAAAATAAAAATATATTTGACCTATGAAACTGCTCTCAAAGGAAAGTTAATGGTTATTATACAGGTACTAATATTTTAATTATATAGACTGCTCAGTTTCCAACAAAATATTTCTTATTTGTAGATTGCTTTTTCCTTTCCATCTTCTTGATGATCATCTTTCTGATCTTGTTTGCCACTGGTATCTTCAACTAGGCCTTTGAGCCGGGACAAATGGTGTAAAGCCCTACATTTAAAAAAACAAAAGCCACCCTTATCAACAAGTGTATTTTACGATTGACGTTACATATATTTAACAGAAATGGCAATATTTCCTTAACACCACTTCATCAGCTTTGAGGCATCTCTTCAAATTAATACACAGACATGTAAAACTGTGAAAACAAATTAAACATTTTGTTAAATGTTGATTTAAAGGGACAATTCAACTGTAGACAACTACTTTCATGACACTGCATTTCTTTATTCTTGCTACAGATGTCTAGTTTCCCTATTTAGAACTGTTAAAAGCAAGTAAGGATGACATTTTAGTCTGTGTTATATAAAAAAACGACAGCTTCTTCTAGGGTCAATGATTTTGCCTAACACCACACTTAATACTTTAAATTTTATAAACCTGAATTGCCAACTTCTGGCTTGATCTTATTTCCATTTTAGTCAATGAGTTTTAATGGAGAGGACTGGTCCTTTCTTTTTATTACTTATTTAAGAGAATGAGATAGGTTTATAAAAAAAGAACTGCAGGGTGATGTGCGTGGTGGTGGTGGGGGTCTCCACCAAGTATGGCATGCAACTCTTTGTATAAGTGACAGATCTGTGGCTTGGCACCCTACTGATTGTTGGCCTCTCTGTCCTTGTGACCCATCTGCTGCTGTTTCTATGCTTTCTCATAGCATTGCTGCTGATCCCTGTTGTACCCTTTCTCCTGCATTCTCTGTGCAATCTGCTAGTAGATGTCCACATTATAGTCCTGCACAGCCTCTTCTCCCCACAGGCCCAGGAGATTCGGTCTACTCCAAGTTGGAGCATGTAGCCAACATGATTAGCTGGTCAGTCGCACACAGAAATGGCGAGCTGCCAGGTGTGCCAAGCTGGACAATTAGGAAAAGGCATTTCAAAAATTTGCAGGGCTTCAAAGGCAGGGGAGAGGGGTGCCTTCCAGTCACGGTGACCCCTGGGGGGTGGAGTTCACAATTGTGACTGGAGTGGTCAGTGTCAGGCATTGTGGGACAGCTGCTGGAGGACTGTTAGGGTCAACATTAGTAATGCAGTGTCTATATTCATGCTGTGTCAATCTCAGTACATTGACCACAGCTCGCTTACCACTTGGGGAGGTGGCGTTACTATGCCAGCGTAATGGAGGGTTTACATCAGTGGGAGACAAATTTAAATGTGCACAAATGCACAACTAAGTCCATGCAAGGAGGCTTACATTCCTCTAACTTTGTAGTATAGACCAGGCTCTGGTCTAAAAGTCAAATTAGGATGCTAAAGTAGTGCACCACACTATGTTAGGAAATTGTTTCTGTACCTAAGAGTTATATTATTTTCACTTTTTACATTTTACTTTTATTTAACATTATAATACAAAAGTGTAGTATGTCATGAAGATGGACAGTTTGTTGAAACAGAATTATACTCTAGCAGTTATTAATTTAAAATGATTCTATTATGAAGTCTGTTTTTTCCAATCTGCCTTTTGGTGTTCAAGAGGTTTCCTACCAATTTATGAGCATTTATTTAAATGGGACTCATGTTTATTTCATGTATGGAAAATGTTTTCTCAAGTATGCTATTCATTATGATGCTTCCCTGAAGTTATAAAGAACTAAAGGACAACAGCAATGAAGATTTCCCACACAGTAAATTGTTTTCTGGAAGGATCAACTCTATGGTTACTCTTGATGCAACGGTATGCTTTTACTTACACCCTCCCCATCTAAAGTTATAATGTAACATGGTTATTCCGCTTTTTAAAAAACTGTTTTCTAGGTGGAATCACTTTTTAAAAATTCCTTGTCCCATATTTCTAACTTCTCCAAGTTCTTTTATTACTTCAGTTTTAAGATTCCCAAAAGATATAATGTAAATATTAAGATAAAACCCTACAGCAGCTCACTAGATACTCCTTAGATCCATAAATTGCTATGTATTTTGATTATTCACAACTAACTTTTGTTTATACTTCAGCTAGTTTCCAATCCAAGTGATAATTCTCATATCCAATCTAATTTAAATTATTTTTCCAAGCAAGACTGAGACAGGAGGAATGTTTAATTGTGCGGAGAAAGAGAATTAGTACACTTACCTTCGAAGAGACTTGGTAATAGGGATCACATCATTGTCACACAGCTTTAATTCAGAAACTGCTTCTTCTGAAAGCTTAAAAAAGAAATCTGTCAAATATAAACAAATGACTAACAGGATAGATGAGAAGAGTTTACATTTATATAGCATCTTTCACCCCATAGGATCTCTGACAACTTTACAAAGTATACACATACTATAAGGATCAGCTTGTTCACCACTGAATCGAGCTTTGTGGGTGAAGTAGAAGAATTTAACACATTGCAACATAACAGAGTCTTCAATACCTGTTCCTAATTTGCATCAAATCCACTTGAAACTGCAGAAAAATTAAGGTAGCAAAATGCAATTGCCTAATTCAAAACAGGGTAAGTTTAGTATGGCTAAAATTCCTTGCCCTGGTGAAAATTGCCATGTCTGTTAAGGAGTGGTCAAGATATTTTTGTTAGAACACATTATGCATGAAAGACAGCATCTCTAGCAGCATAGTACATTCTAACAATGATGGTCTCATTGGAGAAGTGTTTTAATTCATCTTCTGAATTAAACACTACTTGTAGCACATGTTCTCTGAGGTCTTCCATCCAATTACTGACCTGCTCCAACACGGCTTTGGGAGATAGCATAATGGGACAGGCACATGATAAATAACAAGTAGATAAAGAATGTCTAAAGAGATTTTATTAAAAACATTTTGTTTCTGTAATATAGGACAATTAAATACATTTTTCTTCATCTAAATATATGCTTAGAGGCTTTCCACCTTTCTGAAGCGATTATAAAAAAGCAAATCCAAATACTTGGCAATGTATCCCTTTACTCTGAAATGCCATGTTTCTCATGTAAATCCTTCTTTTCTTCCTGTGCCTAAGAAGACACTGTATAGGGTAAAATTTTACTACTATATACCAAAATGGCAAAAGACACCTCATGTTGGCTTACGTGCTCAGTCTACACATCAGTGTGTTTGAGTTAAACAGATCAAATTACTACCCTTGCACTAAACATGATGGAGAGCCTCGTCAGAGGCACTACAGTAGCTAGCAGGAAGTTTCAAGGACAACTGGTGAGAGGAAGTATTCTGGTTTCATATAACTGAGGAATAGAGAACTCTCAAACTACTAAAGGTCTGACAAAGAGTCTGAAGCAGAGAAGGATACACAGATGATTCACATAAAGTTGTGTGTAAACTGAAACACTGAAGAACACTTATAAAATATTAATATACAAAGATATTAAACATTCTAGATCTAAAGCAGACACTTGAATTCTAGAACCAATTAAATGTCTGAATAGATCAATAGATGAGTAAAAGTTTATAAAAAAGAAACAAATTTAGAGCTAGATAAAGGACAGAATAAAATATCTCCTGATACCTAGCCCTGTTCTCTTAAATACAGTATACCATCTATCCAATCTAATATGAAAGAAACCAAAAGATGAGAGTGGGACAGGAAGTTGGACATAATCTTGCAGTGTGATGTGGCAGAAAGAGTCAGTAAGAAATTATGGACTGCATGTAAAGAATCGCATCAAAAACATGACAGTTTTTGTCCATATGGTTTGGGGGGTGACCACATTTGAAATATTAATTTCTGAACATCTCTTTATAAAGATATATTGATAAACCAAAGTTCACTAAAGAGGTTAAAAAAAAAAGTGTGTTGGGGGGAGAGGCAGAGAAACTGACTCGCCCCAATTCAAGAACATGCTTAAGATCATGCTTATGTACATCCTAATTCAATAAGGCACTAGGCATGTGCTTAGTGTTAAATACATGCTTAAGTCCCTTTGATTTTAATAGGTTTAAATGTGTTTAAGTGCTTTCCTGAACTGGGGCCTTTATGGGAAAAGATTAAAAGCAAACCACTACAAATTTTTGAATTGAAGCGTGGACCCCTTTGGAAATCTTAAGTTTCCCCAGGGGTCTGCAGAACACTGATCGAAAACCACTGAAATAGTATGTACAACATGCCTAACTTATAACAAAGGAGGGGCTTGTTTACACTCTTCAGATATTTGTACCCTGTTAACACCAAGGGGGGGGGGGGAAGGAGAGAGAGAGAGAAAAAACGATTTAGGGTGGTCCAAGGGACTATGAGAAGTGGTTAGAAATTAGAGGGGAATTGTAGGCTGAATACTGAGTAACAGGAAAAAACTTCCTAACATGGAGCTCCATTAGGTTTTCTCAACAGAACTGGTATGAGTTCTACCATTTGTGACAGAGTTATAGTAGACTGGATAGAAAGTAGAAAAGCTACTTAGGGAACAATACTACATTGTCAAGTATATGGACTAGAAGACAAAATAGGTCTTTATCTCCAACTTGAATGAATATGGGTAACTGTGGTCACATTTTTGTATGCTGGCTGGAATTCTAGCCTTTACAAGTACAGTCCCACAGAAAAATTAGACAGGATATTAATATCAATAAGACCCAATGTAAAAAAGAAACTGATTGCTTACTTTTTTAAATTCATCATTTTGTTCAGCAGTTTTATTCTGGTTAAAGCTTTCATGAACTGCTTGTAGGTTGAACAACATTAGCTTTAAAGCTTCAACTGGCCCATGGTGGTTACCGCCAGAAAAGGTATTTTCCTAAAACCAAAAAGCAGAAATAAAACAAGAGCTATAATATTTTAAAAATCAGACCTGCTACTTTTAATTTTTCTTTAGGACAATTTGATAGTTGTGACCTATGTGGATTTTCCACTACTTTTTTATCAGTCTATAGAAATAGCATATAGAGGGCCTCATTCCCCACTACATCAATTGTATGGCACTGTAGCCCATGGAACCAACATAGATACAGTGCAGTAGATCTTGAGTAACAGAGGGTATGTCTACACTGCAGTTAAACACTCACAGCTGGCCCGGGTTTGCAGGGGTTGGCCAAGGGACTGTTTAATTGTGGTGTAGGTATTTGGATTTGGGCTGGAACCCAGGCTCTGGGACCCTCCCAACTTGTGGGGTACCACAGTCCGAGCACCAGCCGGAGCCTGAACATTTACACTACGATTATACAGCCCCATAGTACAAGCCTACTGACATGGGCCAACCACGGGTGTGTAATTGCAGTGTAGACATTCCCACGAGGTGGAATCAGGTCTAGAAACGATAAAGGAATATAGGAATTTGTCTGACAGCAATTTGGTAGAGAGATCATGCTTTTAGTAGGTCTTGATTTTATTTGATAGATGTTACACTAATAATGAACATAGCTGGGAACACACAAAAATTCTTAGCTGACAACTCCAAATATCAATTTTAATAAAAATACGATAAATCCAGAGCCAAACTCAATCCCACATTCACCCATAACACGCACACCATATGTTCCCCAACACTTGGAAAGCAAACACCTTGGAAAAGAGTTGTTTAGAACCTGAACTGTGAATTTTCACATTTTCTAATTTTGAATGTTTACTTTTAGAATGGACATCAGTAGCTTAAGAACAAATATCACCTCTGTTTGAAAATTATTTGCCTACTTTTGTTAACAAGTAACACTTTCAGATTACTATAGTTGAAAGATGAGAGGAATTTTTTTTAATTTTGATTTATAAAGGAAAAGTTTATCCTCTAAGTATTCTTGTCCAGAATGCATCTTCAAGTCTTGAGTTTTCCCTTCAGCCTCCTCTCTCTTTCCCTTCATCATCTGCTCAAATCCCCTTCTACACTCAACCATTATTTCTAGCTGCACCACCAAACCTCAGATCCTCACTTCCATCAGATCTATCAAGCGGCACTTCATACAAACGAAGCACTTTTCAGGTACCCTCTCCAGAATGATGTACATCCTGCAGCTTTCACACCAAGTTGTCTTCATGTTTCTTCCATTCTTTAGGTCTTTGTAGCTGTCATAGCCTCCTAAGCTCCCATAAACAACAAGCAGAACAAAAAACCACACTCACACGCTAGACACGCCCTCCCCCAAACACCCACTATAACTCTCCAGTTTTCACAGCTCCGTTTGATGGCTCCTCTGCCTCTGGTTAGCCAGTTGGCTGCCTTTATATGTTTGTTGAGAGAACCATGTTTGTGTGTGTGTGTGTGTGTGTTGAGAGAAGCAGAGCATTAGATCACAGCTAAACCTTGACTGAAAGTAAGGCTTGCCTAGCTATCATCTAATGCTCTGCTTGTCTCAACACTCTGCTCCCTACCAAACTTTACAAACTGAAAACAAACCACCGAGCAAAGACATACTCTCAAGAACTCATTCACTGCCCCCAAGGAACAGGGGCCTGTCTCCTTTTTCCAACAACAGATCTCCACTCAAACTCCTGTTTTCACCATTGTTTGCTGGTTCCTGTGCTGCTCCTCCTTTGGATGAACAACGCAGATGAGTATACATTAATCAACTCCATCCATTTTGCCCTTTGAAATTCAGCAAGAGGAGGTGAGGAGTAAAAAGCAGAAGAAAGGAGTAGATGTGATTCGGAATATCACTTAGAGGTATTTGAAATTGAGGGGAGGTGTGAACACTGGATCAATTATCCAAAGAGGACTGGGAGAATGTCACCTCACCTGTAGATGGGGAGGTGGTGAAGATGAGGAGGTGTCACCTCATAAGTAGAAGAGGAGGTGACTGAGCGGACTGAAAGTGTTGAAACTCATCCAGGAAACGGGTTTCAAGACTAATAAAGAGAAAGCCCAACTAGTGCAAAGGAGAGTGAATTGTTTGGGGGTGACCCTAGGGGAACAAGGAATTCAGGTAGATCAACAAAAGGTGAAATCATTAATGAATTTACCAAGGCCAGAGGATTCTCATACATTGAGGGTGATGTTAGGAGGGTTTAACTATTTAAGGAAACTGCTGGAATTTTGCCACTATAACTGGACCCTTGTGGCGTCTACTAAAAAATAAAGTAGAATGGGAGCAGGGGCCTGAACAAGAAAAAGCTTTCTGTAATTTAAAACAAGCCTTGATGCAAGCTCCAGCATTGAAATTCCCAGAAATAAACAAGCCATTTGTGATTAAGCTGGCAGCAACCCAATGAAGTCTAGCAGCCGTACTGATGCAAGAAACTGACAGAAAGTTAATACCGGTAGCACATGAGTCTAGAAAATTAACCCCTACAGAGCAGCAGTTTGGGATCTGTGAAAAAGAATGTTTAGCTGCTGTGTGGGTCTGTAGTGGGGCAGCTGCCCTACTCCTGCAGAACGGGATAAAAGCAGCCCTGCAGAGGGCTGCGGCTGGGAAAAAGAGTGAAAACAGTTAAGGGAGTAGTTGACCACAGCTGTGGCCAGCTCAATTAGGGCCCAGCTGGTCCTGACAGGAGGGCTGTGGGCCAGAAGCTGGAGGAGTCTCACTCTAGCCCTGGAGTGGGAAGGGCTAGCTGCCTGAAAGGAAAGTACCTGAAGCAGAACAGTGCTGGGGAATAGGGCAAGGGAGCTAGGGAACTCCAGCCTGGTAAACCCCCAGGCTACAGGTCTTGGTGAAGGCCTATAAAGGTACTGAGGCTACACAGGTGCAGCCTGGGAATAGGCAGAGGCAGCTGGTCCTAACCCCTTGCCAATGATAAGTGGCCATTACAGACTGCATTCTGCCCCAGTAAAAGGGGGCTAGATGATGACTGACAGTAGTCACTGAAGTGAGGTGGGCTTAGGGGGTTGGGGGTTCCCCTGGGAGGGGAGACCCAGAGTGTGGGGGTACTGCTGGGGCAGAACCGTGAGGTAAAGGGCACCCGAGTCTGGGGGGACACGGGGCCAGCGGCAGGCGAGACACTGGCCTGCAGAGGGCACTCTGTACACTGGAAAAGAGCTAATTCCCAGATGACCAGCAGGAGGCACCGCACCGGTGAGGAGTCACTTCGCTACAGGGCCATTGAAGCTTTTGATTTGACGACTGGCACAGTCCCTGTTATAATACCAACACCTGACTCTCCCCTGAAGTATATTTTAATCAGGAAAACTGCAGGGAAAAGCAGTATCACATATCATGATGGCCCAATGGACCTTGATGTTAACTAGCAGAGATGTTACATATGAGAATAACAAACAAGCAATGATGCTACCATATGGTCTCCTGATGAAAGGAGAGGAGCATGAATGCCCACTTCCAGAAACTGAACCAAAGTTAGCTGAAGAAGCAACCCTGGTACATGAAATGTTAAACCTTGGAGAAAAAGAGGTTTGGTTTACAGATGGTAGTTCATACCATGAGAACACTAAGAAATATACGGACTATACAGCTGTACAAATTGATGGGGAAACAATTTCTGGTTCTAGGAGCATGACCTCAGTTCAGGGAGCAGAGGTCAGAGCTCTTAATGATCTGATTACACAGAAAAATAATTTTGCAGACTGTCTTTATGTCTATTTGGATTCAGACTTTGTGGTACAAGGACTGTTATACTGGATTGGGATTTAGAAAAAGATCACTGGGAAACAGCTGAGGGGAAAAATTTGGTCCAAAAAGAGGATTGGAATATATACCTATAATTAGTTGAAAACACACCCAGGAAAATTAAGAGCAAGACATATTAAAGGTCATCAAAAGCCAAAAGGGAATGAAAAATATTGGACTGATAAAGCGGATGCTTTAACTAAATTAGCAGTAAAGGAACCTTTGGGAGTTATGGTAGTTAGTAGTCAAGCCTTAAAACAGGAGGTTAAACCTGAGGAAAGATGGGGAAACTGGAATATACAAGGTGGATATGTGGTGAATAAGAAAACAGGAGAGGTAGTGTGTACCTGACAAACTTCAAAGAGAAGAGATTAAAAACCTGTGTCACTCTATGGCCCACCAAGGAATAGAGAATACTCTCTTTAAAATAAAACAAATTGGAATATGGCCCAAGGTGTGAAAGCATGTAGAAAACGTTGTTAAAAATTGCATAAGGTGTGCAACAGACAGAAATAGACCACCGAATTCGGGACTCTTGTTACACCAAAGAATTGTGGGGCCACGGAGTAGAATACAGGTTGATTATACTGATAAATTGCCTAAGACCCAAGGGGGGAAATAAATATTTGTTAGTGATAGTATATTCCTTTTCTGGATGGGTGGAGGCAATTCCCACCAGAAAACATACTGCAGAAATCACTGCCAAAAAGTTGTGCAAGTAGTGTTTAGTAGATATGGAATTCCAAAAGTAATTGATTCAGATAATATTCCTCTTACAAAATGTGGCCTAATTAAAAGTTTATTAAAAGCCTTAGGAATAAAGCAACAACTACATATTCCCTATCAGCCTCAATCATCAGGGAGAGAAGAAAGGATGAATCAAACTATTAAATAAGCTCTATGTAAAGTAGTACAAGAAACTGGCAAAGACTGGGTCGATAAATTGCCCAATGGTGTTGGTGGCAATCCGAACTAGTGATCAATTGGGTACTGGCTAGGAGATTGTGGAGTCCTTTATTGTACCCAGAAGGGGAGGTATCAGTTACCCAGTGGATAAGGGAGTTACTAACAGAACTTAAGAGAGTGGAAAATGGAATAAGAAAGCGACAAGAAGTTTTAGAGCAAGTGATCAATAAAATTGAATTGCTTGCTAAATTATAAAATGATACATGATTAATGCCATTAATTATTGTATCAAGAGGGGGGAATGTTGGGAGATATATATGTATATATACACACACACACACAG